GACTTTGGCAGACCGTTCACGAAAAGGATCACCGCTCTGTATGATTTCCGTCATCTCATCCAGTAATCCAAAGAAACGGGAGAGATTCTTTGTCATCAGACTCCTGGCTTCCTGCCCTATGTCACTGTCATCATCGTCCTTGCTTTCTTTGGATATCCTTTGTTACTCCAGCTCAATCAGTTCCTCATTTGTCAGTTGCTCAGTGTGAGACTCCAAGAACTCCTGTACATCCTCCTCCTCGAAGCCAATATCCTTCACTTGACAATTTCTTGCTCGAGAGAAGGAACGGCATCAAATCCCACGAAGCTGTGGACAGCATCTGGCCATGCACGGTGCCAAATGCTGTTCATACATTGCGATGTGACCTCTTCCCACGATGCATCAATGTTTTCCACGCCATTCAAAATGTTGTAGAACTTCCAAAACTCCTTTACACTAGACTTTCCTTCACCTGCCGTCTCCTTAATCAGCATGGAGAATGTCCTCTGTAGATAATAAGCCTTGAACGTGACCAGCGGACACAAGTACAGTACTGTACAATGGAGAAACGTGTTCCAATTTACGTTGTTCCTGATCCACATATCCGTCATTTACACAGTTCGGGACCAACGTGAATTGGAACACGTTCCCCTATTGATGAGAGAGGGATATCCGAAACAGCGGATAAGGAGGAGATGTATATTGGGGACCCCATGTATCACAAATCAGATGACTTTTTGATCCTAAAAGGATTTAAAATCAAATGCCTAAGCTCCTTCCCCAAATCACATTTTATATTTAACTCTCCATTTCTGATTAATTAAAGTGCATGTTGGGAGATTAAAGGGTATCTGATAGAGTTTTATAGATTGTTACATAGGTGCTGAGCACCCTCAATTCATCCTGACTTCAATGGGCTATGTGACTGCTCCACATCTTGCAGGATCAAGCTCTTAAGTACAATCAGCACTGTATTTTAATAGTTTTTGTGATATTGATATCAACACAAGACCCAAGTTTTATAGCGTTAGGCCAGCCTCCAGCATAGACCATTCGTGCCTCCTAATACTGGGGAAAGGGAGCACAAAGTAAAGGGGAGGATACATGACCGTGTCATGTGTCTCCTCTGGGAGAAACTTCCAGCCTCACCAATCTAGCCAATCCCTCCGGCTCCTGGGGGGATGAGACCACAGGAGCAGGAAGCATGTGCTTCTGGGCCCGACTGGGGCCAGCTCCAGCCCCGGCTGAGTAGAGGCCAGGGAACCTGCTTCTGGCACCTTCCCATCCTGCGCCCAGCCCGGGGACCGCCATGCTCTTCCCTCCCCAAGAGTTACCTGCCAATGGGGTGGGAGCTCTGTCCTTCTCTTGCTGTGCCTCGCCCCGGCATGTTCGGCCCCTGCCCCTGGCAGCGGTGCCCAGGGCGCGGAGCAGGATGGAGCCGCTTCTCATGCAGCTGACACCTTGTTTTGTGCAGCGCGGCAGCTGCCAGAGAGAGCCCAGCTGGAGAGGTGGCAGCAGCAGCCCGCCCTCTCCACTCCCCACCCAAACCGGGCCACTGGGGACAGGGGCCGAACGAGCCGAAAATGTGCCGGGAGCGAAGGGGGACTCTGGCTCACTCAGCCCCTGTCCCCGGCAGCTGGGTCTGGGTGGGTAGCGGAGAGGGTGGGCCACCGCCACCACCTCTCCAGCCAGGCTCTCTCTCAGGCAGCTGCCTCACTGCACAGAGCAGCGACTCGGAGCAGTCAACATGAGAAGTGGCTGGTCCCGCCCCTTCCGCTCCCCACCTGGGCCCGATTGCCAGGGCTGAGGCCAACCGTGCTGGGGGGCAGGTGCAGTGGGAGAAGGATAGAGCTCCTGTCCCTCCCCCTCAGCAGGCCAAGCAGAAATCTGGGGGGGGGAGGGGCACTTGACCCCGTAGGTCCCCCCTGCACGTCACCTATGCGCTGAGGATGCAAATGCTAGTATTTTAAATATCAAGAATATCAACATCTAAACACTAGCATTTGTGCCTAAAGATCAACTATGTCTGTAATATTGAATGCTAACTTTAAAAACTGAAGTCTATTAAATAAATGTGAAACCTTTCAGTAGGGACACAGGGAGATATAAATAAGGGACGTACCTTTAGCACCACTGAAATGCAATGGAGTCAATGAAAAAAATGTTGGTAGGATAGAATTGTAAAATGGTTAAATGTCTGCCAGAAAAACCAAACCAAACCTGGGACTGTATATTCTAAACAGAGCAACTAGGAATTCTACATTGCACTTCTGATCATAACATTTGCCAACTATCTTTCTTTTCAGATAGAGAAGCTAGTTTTAATTTAAACCCCAAACAGCTGACCAGGTCTCATCTTGGCTTTGTGATTAATTATGTGACTGAGTCATAAATTATTTAGCACTAACACATGGTCTGTCATGTCTTGTTACTTAAGTGTAATATGCCTTTCATCCATGTATACTCAAGAGGACCATCTGATTGGCTGCTAGTGATGTTATCCCCATTTGGTAATCCCCAGTGAATCCCCAGGGAATAGCTAGCCCATTCTAGGCAGAGTTGCTAGTGCCTTTTTTACAGGTCTGTGCCTAATAACAGGTTTATTCCTACTCATCACTCTTGGGTTCACTGCAGGTGAATTAAATGGTTTTCAATAAAATTGCCTCAATGAATGTCAACCATTTTCCATAACAGAAGGTGCAGCAGATGAGCTATTGTTTACCTTTAAACAATGCCCCTTCTACTCTTCAGCAAGCTTGACCTGAATTTTGTGCCAAGGGACCAGGATTCTGTGGCACTCTAGTACAACTGCTTGGAAATCCTACAGCAGCTTTAAATACACAGACCATTGAGTTTTGTATTTAATCAAATATAAAAATGAATACAGTTAGTACAGTTGTCATATTTTAATTTATCAGGTCTATTTTCAATGTGCTGCAGAATTTTGTACTGAAAATGCATTTCTGTATTGTAGGACATGGGGAAGATGAGATTTTTGGAAAGTTGGGGATCATGGCACATGGGGAGGTATGAGATGTCATTTGGACTGTGGGAAAAGCATATTAGGTGAATGTTTCTTGTAAATGGATCAGCAATGAAACAGTTAATGCTGCCCTTTAAACTCCCACCTTTAGGATTCAGAGTTACTATCCTGTTTAACAGGGTAGTTCACTTAGAGCTATTGCTTCAAGGTGTTTGCAGACATAGGCAAACATCACTGCATCAGTTTGCACTTTAGTTTGCATTTGGAAGGTTCTGTGACAATTTTTTTTTTTAAATGAAAAAGCCGATTCTGCAGCAAATTCAGTGGTAGTGGAATTTTAGAGAGCAATGAGCCTTTCCAATATAGCAGCAAATGCACCTTTTATCTAGTGGTGAGGCACAGGATTTGCATTTGCTGTCATTATGTGCAGCAGTAAGAATTGGGAAAGAGAAATCTGACCCATCTTGAAAGTCTAAATTTTTGGGGTGCTCTTATATTACTGTTAAAACATAATACAACTATCAATATGCTATCTAGTTATCTAAACTTACCTCTCCAGTACATAGAAGAAAGTATCACAAAGACTCTCAAACTAAGTTCCCTCTAAGCTGCACATCCATACAGCAGGCTATCAAGGGCTACCGCTAGGGGAGAGGCACCTCTCCCCCGGCATTGGAACTACTGTGGCCGGGAGAGAGGCGCCTCTCCCCCGGCCCGGTGAGAGAGGGCTGTGGGGAGTCTTCTCTTCCTGCCACAGCCTGCACCCCTCATCCCTGGCCCCACCCCAGAGCCTGCATCCCCAGCTGCAGCCCACACTCCCCACACCCCAACCCTCTGCCCCAGCCCTGAGCCCACTCCCAAACCCCATCCCCACCACACATCACCTTCCTATTGGTTCACATAACAAAATTCATTCCACACATGGATGTAAAAAATTAGAAGGAACATTGCTCTCAAATGGGATTTTAGAGACAAGATGGATGAGGTAATATCTTTTATTAGACCAACTTCTGTTGGTGAGAGAGAGAAGCTCACACAGAGCTCTTCTTCAAGTCTTAGAATGTGTGGTAACTGCTTATGCTAAACAATCTGTTTCCCCTTGCATTTAGCTGTGACACTGAGTATCTTTCCCAGACCTGAAGAGGACAAGAAGTGTAGCTTGAAAGCTTGGCTCTTTCACCAACAGAAATTGACCCAGTAAAAGATATGACCTCACCCACCTTATTTTTCTAATACCCTGGAACCAACAGGGGTACAGCAACACTGCATACAAACCAGATTTTTTCCCTTTTGCGGATGCCTTCCAACTGCATGCTGCAATTCAGGGGGTGAGGAAGGATTTTGTCTGGTGTGATATATGTGAGCCCGTGGCTGCTACTCTATGAGATGGCGCTAGAAAGGGAAATTACCACACGGACTCGAGCTGGGAGCAAAGCCGGACGACAGCCAGCACAGAATACCACACGGCAGGGCGTGAGGAACACCAGTCATCCAGCAAGAGCTTGGTTAGGCCAAACGTAGACACTCGAAACTCCCATTTAAACTGGACTCGAGTGCTAACCTTATTGGAAAAACCTGGGAGGTGGGCGGGGGAGGCGAAGCAGCCACGGCACCAGACAGCTGCTGGGCACAACCTCCATTTCTGGCATCAGCTGGGCGCGGGCACCTGCAGCAGGCGGACGCACCTGGGTTTGCCTCAGCGCGTGCTAGTCCCCGGGCACCGGCCTGCGCTAAGGGCACAGAGGCGGTGGCTGGGGCAGTGGGGGGTCCGCCCGCGGGGAGCGCAGACTGGCGGTGGGGGGGGCTGCTGGACAAGGCCGCAGCTAGTGCGGGGGGGGGGGTGGTCCCCAGTCTCCCAGGGGTCGGGGAGGAGCCTGAGCGAGAGGAGATGCTATTGGGGGAGGGAAGGGAAGACCGCGAGCGGCCTCCGCACTTCTCGCGAGAGAACAGAACGCTCTGCGCGTCTGCCTGAGAGGGCCCGGCCGCAGATAGATGTTCTCCCGTTGCTGACAGTCGCTCTCGCGAGCGTTGTGTGCCCGGAAGCAGTGCGGCCACGCGGCAGAGCGGACTGAGTAGTGTGGGCGACTAGAGCCGAGGAGTGGGGGTGGGGAGCGGGTTCGCTACGTCCTGTACGGGAGCCGCCAAGGGACAGAAGCTGCTGCAGGAACCGGCCAGATGCCCAGCGCCGCCCGCAAGAGCCAGGAGCGCGACCGAGCTAGCATGGAGCCGCCGCCTGCTGATGTGGGTCCAGGCGGTGTGAGGGGAAAGGCACCGGGTCCGGGGGGCTGGGCCGCCCGTCCCTGGAGGGGTGCTTGGGCTGCCGTGAGGGACGGGGGCACTGCCCACCCCGGGAGGCCTTCGGGGGCTGCTAGCTGCAGAGCAGGCCCTGGGGGAGGGGAGGCAGGTGTCCCTACGGTCCCCCCCCCCGGGTAGGGAGCGGGGAGCCAGTGCCCACACCACGGGAGATGGCTTCGTGCTCGCGTCCCACTCCCAGAGGAACTATGCCCAGCCTCAGGAGTTGGCCTGTCACAGGGGCTCCTTCCCCTTCCCCCCACCCAAGGAGGCAGCTGCACCTCTGTTTGGAGATCTCTGTGCTTATACGGCCCCTCTCAGTCTAGTGTCTGAGCTCCCAGCAAACGAATGGCTTTTTATCCTTCTTGGGGTTGTGTCATAGGTGTGTGTACGACCGGGGTCCCCACACGAACAATGAGAAACACTCCAGTTATTCTCATGGGGCAGTCAGGTACCAAATCAACACTGCAGTGTCACTGCACCAAAATATGAGTTATGGCAGCATCCTGGTGGCCTGGGAAGTGTTTGTCTTACACTTTGAGTTCACAGGTCAAAGCTGAGCAGTGGTTAAACCAAAGTCTTTTTGCATATAAAGAAAACATTACCTTAGACTGCATCGGGGTAGGCAACCTATGGCACGTGTGCTGATTTTCAGTGGCACTCTCACTGCCCGGGTCCTGGCCACTGGTCCAGGGGGCTCTGCATTTTAATTTAATTTTAAATTATGCTTCTTAAACATTTTAAAAACCTTATTTACTTTACATACAACAGTAGTTCAGTTATATATTATAGACTTATAGAAAGAGACCTTCTAAAAATGTTAAAATGTATTACTGGCACGCAAAACCTTAAATTAGAGTGAATAAATGAAGACTCGGCACACCACTTCTGAAAGGTTGCTGACCCCCGGGCTATATCTACACTACACTTGAGGCTCTGAGATCCATCCACTGGTGGTCGATTTAGTGGGTCTAGTGAAGACCCATCAAATCAACAGCAGATCGCTCTCCAGTCGACCCCTGTATTCTACCCCCCAGGAGAAGAGTAAGGTAAGTCGTCGGGAGAAAGTCTCCCGTCGACCCCACCCCACCTCGCCCCGCGATGTAGACCCTGCGGTAACTCAACCTAAGGTATGTTGACTCCAGCTACATTATTTACATAGTTGGAGTTGCGTAGCCTAGGTCGACTTACCGCAGTAGTGTAGACATAGCCTTAGTAATGGCATGTGGGACAAACATCAATAACACGTGCCCAGGGAGCGACTTGTTTAATTTTAAAATGTGAAAAATGAGCCCTTCATAATTAATTCTGGGCACGGATGGCTTCACTAAAAACAATAGAAACTGGTAAGCCTCTATTAGCTGCAATTAAATGTACACAACTGCCAAAATATTCTAATAGAATAAGAAACATGCCAAATCTGTTCACTTGTCAGGCACACCCCTGAGTAAACTGATGAACTTTACTTTGTTCCCTGGAGATCTGCAGATTTGGACTAAAAGGGAAAATGAATTCCAGGATTGGGATGCCTCCATTTATAATGCCCTGTTCCCATGCATTTAATCTTGTAGCAGTTGTCAGTGGTACATCAGCTCATCTTGGCTGTCATAGTAACACACAGGGAAGCTTATAGAAAATAATGCTATAATTATTTTAGATTACCCTGTTGTCCTGTCATGGGCCAATTGACTATGTAATTATTTTTTACATACTTTAGTATACATTTTTTTGACAAAAATATTTTTTGTTTGTCCCCTCCAACACCTTTTAGGATTATGCTAAGGAGAGATATGGCGTGTTACCACTGATACAATCACAAGAGAAATCAGGTCAGTTACAAAAACAAAAACTTCTAAAACAATTTATACTATGTTGGATACTTGTGGTGCCAGTTTTGAACTAAAACACTTCTTTGCTACACTGTTTTTCTGTCTCCCTTGTCACTACTTGTCTCCTTATCCGTGTCCATTTATACTACTACATCACAGGTGTCAACAAAAAAAATTCATTCTACTTGTTACTCCAGAATTATTGCTTTGAAATGTTAAAGGCTCTGAAAGCATTTGCATTGATCTGCAAAGACAGATGATGAAATATTAGACAATAAAATATGGATGTCACTCAGGCCAGATCTACACTTAAAATGTAGGTCAACATAACTACAACACTTGGGTATGAAAAAATCCAGTCCCAAGTCCTGAAGCTATGCTGATCTAACCCTTGATGTAGATGTAGCTAGGCTGATGGAAGAATGCTTCTGTCGACCTAGCTTCTATCACTCAGGGACATGGTGTTCCTACAGAAATAGAAAAAACCTTTCCGTTACTGAAGGCTGCATCTGCTACAGGGTTATGTTTGCATAGCTACAGTGCCATAGCTATGCTGCTATTGTCCCTGCAGTGTAGACATGGCCTAATTTGTTAAAATGTTCATTCTTTAGCAGGGAAAGGTCCACAGATCCTCATGCTGCCTATTCAGCTTGTTTGCAGTACTGGAAGTAGAGACAGACCTTTCAGTCACTGAAGCGACCTAAATGTCCCTCGAAGAAACAAGAAATTTTCTCTTTGTCTCCCAGTGCAAGCTTGACTTTTTCTCAGGATTAAAATTAAATTGCCATGTACAATGTTACTATTCTAAAACTGACTTACTAAAATTTAAATTAGTTCAGCAAGTCCTAGGAAATGGAATAGCATTTGTTCCCTTGGTTTGGAGTAAGCACTCTGATGAGATATTGCAGCAGCTATCTAGCCATATAACTATATATGTCAGGGGTAGGCAACCTATGGCACGCGTGCCGACGGCGGCACATGAGCTGATTTTCAGTGGCACTCGCACTGCCCGGGTCCTGGCCACCGGTCCGGGGGGCTCTGTGTTTTAATTTAATTTTAAATGAAGCTTCTTAAACATTTTAAAAACCTTATTTACTTTACTTACAACAATAGTTTAGTTATATATTATCGACTTATAGAAAGAGACCTTCTAAAAACTTTAAAATGTATTACTGGCACGCGAAACCTTAAATTAGAGTGAATAAATGAAGACTCGGCACACCACTTCTGAAAGGTTGCCGACCCCTGATGTATGTACTTATGGCCCTCATCGCTGTACATGAGCACCTAACAAACATAGATTTTTATTCTCACAAAACTGCTGTGAAATAGGGAAGTATTCACATTTTACAGATTGGGTTCTGAAGTACAAAGAGACTAAGTGACTTGCCCAAGGCGTCACACAGTCTGTGACAGAATGAGGAATTGAACCCAGGTCTCCTGTGATCCAGCACCTTAACCACTGGACTAGTCCCTGCTCATAGCCTTAGATGCAAGAAACTATGGCAGAAAATAGTAAAACTAAAGGAAAAACCTGCCCCTTGTACACATCCTCCATAATGGAATGTGTAAAGGGAGATCTCTGCCTCTTCTGCAAGGAGACCAAGACTTGGCAGTTGCTGCCTCTCCAAGAAAGGGATTGTGTGGGTTCTTCTCAGGGAAATGCAGAGCAAGGCAAGCAAATGAGGAGGGGAGGAGAAAGAGCCACAGGAGTAGCAGCAAGCAGTGCCTCCCTAAAATGGATCAATGGCTACATCTACATTATGAGCTGGGAGGATGACTCCCAGCTTGCATACACATGCTTGCGCTAGCTCTCATCTGAACTAGCACAATAAAAATAATACTGTAGCTGCAGCAGCACAGGCTAACCGTCCCATATACAAACCTGCCTGAAACCCATGGGTACATACTGGGGGTGGCGAACCTGTGCGGCTGCTGTTTACAAGCCAGAGAATCCAAAGGCTGTAAGAAGCTGCTGGATACTACATCCATAGCCACTGCTGGTGGTTGCAGCTCTGCACAAACTATATGGGGCCACCGAAGGACAAGGAACTGACATGTCAGGATATACTAACAAAGAAAAGGTGATACATGTTTATGGGCCAACCCTATAAGGATTGCCCAAGCTGCTTTTCCCCCTATGCTCTACTCCAAGGGGACGCTGACTACCCCAGCAAGCAGATCTGGTGTTCCAGAGCTTCTTGGTTTGGAGATTTGCACCACAATGGAGTCCCAAGAGCAGCTCCCTCCTGCTAGTTTCAGACCTTCCACCAAGCAGCCTTGTGGACCTCCTTACCTTGATAAGGCGCAGTACCCTTCTTCTTTGCCTTTCAGGGAAGACCCTGCACCAGAGATCTCAAATCCAAAGAAACCCCACCAGAAATGCTGTGAAGGGGGAAAGTGCAGTAGCTATGGGAAATTCAATAGATTCTGCTTATTAGCAACCCCTTGGTTACTAGCAAAAAGTTGCCATTATGCAGCAGTTGCCAATAAGCAGAGGGCAGGTTTGTGGGGCTGCAGCCAGGGAAAGAAGTGCTGGGATGTTCCTTCCCTGGCTGGAGGCCCTGCAAAACTGCCTATGGATAGGGAACTGGAACCTCGATGCCCAGGCTTTCAGTGGGGAGGAGGGGTTGTGGGCAGGGCAGCAGCTGGGGAGCATGGGGGCAGGTCCCTCTACCTGCTATGGGTCTGGAGGGAAGCTGTGAGCAAGGCAGCAGCGGTGTGGGGTATTGTGCAGCTCCATGGGCCCCCAGCACCCCTGCTCCCTGTGGAAAGCCCTGGCATCCAGGCTACAGCTTCTCTCTCTGCAGCTGCCCAGCTTACAGCCCCCCCTCTCATAGTATGCAGTGCTGGGATTCCAGCAGGGGTTCCCCCATTAAGTGGGGTACAGGTATCCCAGCCCCTTATTTCTGTGTTCTTGATGCAGGCAGATTTGTGGCATGTTCTAGCACTTCTTTCCCTGACTCTAGCTCTGCAAACCTGCCTGCATCTGGGCCTTTTCTCTCTCTGTCGTCCCCCCCCCCCCCCCCCCCAAAAAAAAAGTTCTCAGTATCGATCATTGCCAGTGTCCAAATCTATTCCACTTGGTATTGGAAGAGGTAGTCAGATCTGAGTGGGAAAGCCCCTCAAAACGAAAACAACTCTCAGAAGAAGGTAGGAAACTCTATAATCACACATCTAAGACCAAGGTAGATGCCACTTTCTCATTCTTAGTTAAGAATGTGGCAACAGAGGAAGGGAGGCCTCTTACCAAAGGACTCCACTGACAGAAGAGTGGTCTTATTGCTTAAAGGAAATTGAATCTGGTTTGGCCCTAACAGCATCAGCACTATCTACCCCATGGTATCCTGCATGGATTGACAGTCTTGGAGGAACTACCACTCAAGACAAGAGAGCCCATAATTTGGGTGCTTCCTTCTGGAAAAAGTTTATAGTAACTGTTCTTTTCTGACGTCCATATGGACACACTCCCCTTCTCAACCAGAGTCATGAATTACAACATGCTATATGTAGGCACATGTGGCTTTGCATGTGGAAAATCATCATAGAGGGTAAACAGCTTCTAGAAATTGTTTAGAAAATCATTGGGTAAAATAGTGGTAGAGACACCAACAGAAGCAAAGAAATAAAAAAAAAAAAAAAAAAGACAATGACTAGACAGCACAGGAAGAAATACAGACCGTTCTACAGAGAAACAGATTTTTTTAGGGATCATCATAAACAAAGCATGACAAGGGACAGATTGTCCTACCTTACACGAGAAGAGATTGCAGACCTGTGATCCTAGATTTCCTATATGATCCCTCAGAGCGTGGGAAGAGCTGCAAAACCATCAATTTCCAGGTGGATTAAATGCTGTATATTGAAGACATACAAACCATGGAATAGAGTTCCTCTGTCATAAATTAGAGCAAACTCCTTAAGGTCAATAGCCATGTTCTTGCCCAAAAGAGTCTTACAGACACATCTGTAACGGGGCCATATGGTCATCAACCCATGCTTTGGCAGGAGAGTGCCCGGTGCTGTAGTTCTTCAGTAGATGAGTTCAAGTAGGAAAAAAGAAAACTTTGTTTAGTTTATCAAAATTAACCCCCTCACCCCCAGAAATTCTCTTACTTTTAAAATCCCAGTCTGAGGATTTGCGGCTTTTGCCTCACTGAAAAATAGGACATTTTGTATATGCTTATCTGAAAATGTTTTGTTCAGATTACAAGGTCCACAGAACCAACGCGCCTGAGAAAAGTTGGGATTTATAAGGAGAAACAATATTCGTTTAAAAGAAAAACAATGGAAAAGGACTTTCTTGTCTACATATTCAGCTGTTCAGATCTTCTCACAAGTCCTTACAATTGTAGTTTGCTCTACAATATTCTCCCTACAGTTGAACCATGTTGTCACTTCCCTGCTAAAAGCTTTTGTACTTCAAAGAAAGTGTTTGGTGATCACTATGTGTTGGAAGGGCACAGTATAAAAACATCTAATTGTCTTAATATGGTAAACTGTGGAGTACTAATACTGTCTCTTCCTTGCCTCTCATTATGGATTAGTCTTTACACATCCTACTTGATCTCAGTGTGACATTGAATACTGTTGCTCATGCTATTTATCCAGCACACTCCTCTTTGAATACTTCCTTTCCACTGTCTCTCATTTCACTTTTCCCTGTGAAGTGCCTTTAGGTTGTTGTCAAGAACCAAAGAAATTGGCCATCTCCTCCTGAGGGGGTGGTGGTATCTTTAACCTTGACTATCACCATTAGGTCAAGGCCTTTCTTTTTGTCCGTATTATCCATTGGCTTCTAACTCCGCACTAACTTCCCACTCTAAGTTTAGATTCTGAAACTGTCTGTTCACCTGGATAAAAAGTCCTTTTTGGCTTGTGTCTTTGGCTGTTTTTGACTGGGGTTTTTACTTAGCTCCCTTGACCCCAAACATATTTTTCCCCCATATTTCATGTCTCTACGTTTGTTCATTATCTTGGAACATTACTAGAATACATCCTTCTTTGACCCTTGTCACTTCCCAACTTGTTTAATGAAATTGCTTCTCCTTAAATTTAGCAGCATAAATTTTCAAAAGTGATTTTGATACTTCAATTTTTTAGTGCCCAAGTTTTGAGACATCTTAGTTGAGTAACCAGAATCATTAGTCACTTGACAATTAGCCCGAAAGGTGCAGAATGATACAGCCAATTTATTCTCCCAGTCTAGGAAACAGGACCATTATCATCCCACTATAGTCATGGATTCCTATTTCTCCCCAAATCTAAGTCAAAATTGTTCTGCTACTTCACACAACATTTTCATAGGTATTCCTCCCTGCTACACTGATCTCAAACCCATCTCCTCCTTCAATCATGGCCTGGTTGTAACTCTATAAATTCAGTTTCTCTTCTGCTAATGTTGGCAACCCTGCGGCTATTTGATGTTCTCACATCCCATTAAATCATGTCTTTAGAATCTTTCCTGTCTGCTTCAGGCTATGATTGCTAATTAAACCCAATTGACTTTCCCTCCCTTTAGCCCATTTCCCCTTGCTGTAACTACTTGCATCTTTACAGCCTTTGAATTTCAGCTTTTTTTACTCAACCTTCGTAAGTCATCTTCCACTCTCTGCCTTTTTTATTTATGCAGTACCATAGGAATATCAGAAGGCACAGACCCTGCCTCTAGGAATATACAATCTAAATTGGACAAACACTGATAAAGGAGGGAATGAAAGAGCTTGGTTTACAATAAAGATTGACTTGTACAGTTGATACAGCTTGTTTTATTGGTTAAATTTTTCCTTTTTTAGAATAAGGTCAGCTACAAGGGAAGCTGGAGTGGACTTAGTGGATAATAGGTAATTTAATAGTGTTTTGAACAACAGGTGAGGATTTTTGTCACCCTAAAAGGAAGTGGCTGTTTTGGGTGTAGTGCACAGTATAGAAAAAAGGCATAGATGCACAAGTGGGAGGAAGAGACAGGAACAACAAGGTGAAAAGAATGGGTACAGCTTAGGGAGTGAACAGGACAGTAGATAGAAATAAAGGTTGACGTGTAGGCAGAAGCAAAAATGTGTAGCACCTTGAAGGTGAGGACTTGGAGCTTGAGTTTGATCTGGGAAAAGACAGCCATTAAAGGGACTCCTGGGAGAGGGGACACAGTTGGAACAGCATGAAGGGAGGATTGTTTTAGCTACAACTTCTTGGATGCCTTGAAGAGAGATGAGGGTCAGGGTTACAGTCATGCAAGGCAAGAACAAATCTTGGCATGAACAATCAGCATGTTAGCAGAGAGAGGATAGAAGGGTGAATTTTATAAATGTTAGAGAAGCAACAAGCTACAAAAGTAGCTGTGTTTACTTCTGGAAAAATAGTTTTCTTTATTATTCCTCTCTTTGGATCTTGTTTTATTACCTTTTCTATGTAAGGTGAAATAAATCAAATTCATTTTTAAACTATATAAAAATTCATATCAAAATGTGAGTTGTCTGAAAGCTGGACCATTGTGTACAGTAAACTTTTAGAAATGTTAATTTAATGCAGATTGCTGGTCATGTCTAATGCATTAGAGATTTGTAAAAGGAGTGACACATCAGTCTGTCTTTATGTTAAAGTTGTAGCTTTGAAACATTGCAGTTTTAAATTAAGGTAATTCTAGTTCTGCCTAAATATCAAACTTTTAGAAGTGCTGGAAACTAGAGGTTGTACCACTTGGATATTTGCAATAGCAATGCTGAAATGCGAAGATAGGGCGCTGTTACTAGATAACACCCTTTCCAGCTGGGTAGATTTTCCATCTGAGTCCTCTGTGTACTTTCATTTTGTAGCTCTTTGTTTTTATGTGTCTATTATTTTCAAAGGAATGACTAGTTCTTTCCTATTTGGAGGAGTAGTGCTAATCGCAAAACAGCTATGAATGTGTTGCTAACAGAATTTTAGGTGAAATGACGTATGTGTTACCCAGAACTATCTTAATGTCAAAAAGAAAAAAGGATTTTCCAAACCAAAAACTTAAATCCCAACCCAATAGAGAATAATACCATTGCAGGCAAGTTGTGAAAGGTATTCAAAGGCAGAGAGGAGTTCAGAATGGTGGACAGTAACCTTGAGTGGGCAAGCGATGGGAGAGTTCTGATGGAAAGGGAAACTCGGAGTAGGGATGATCGGGTTTCTAGTTAGGGAAATTAAATTTGGTATTTGAAAAAGGTGGATCCCACTGAATGGAGAATCCTAGAAGCAGGGATGGAGCTCTGTGTTACCTTACATTGCCGGTATAACATCTCTCTTGTGAAGAAAAAACTATTATCCCTTTTAATGAGTAGTGGTTTTAACCACATATCAACTATGAATGATTAGATGTTATTGCTAGAATTTGTGGGTTATAAAAAGTTACTTATACCGTAACTGAACATTAGATACTGTTTAAAAATAAAAGTGAGTGCTCAACATTATTCAGCAAAATTACAGCCAAGAAATTGGGAAGAAGTACAATTGAGAAGACAGGTAGAAATAAATCTATTCTCATGGAGTTACCGTATTAACTGTTTGCGGCAGTGTGAAATGTCAGTTGTCTGGATAGTTAATCCCTTTAATTATGGACTTATTTTAAAAATATTTTCCCCAATACTTTAATATGCTGCTTTATGGGCCTTATTCTCCCCTTGACTGACCACACACAATTCCCATTTATAGGAATGTAAAAAATAAATACATGTGGTCTTTAGAGTTTTAGGAGATGCACAGAAGCATGTAGTAAGTTAAGTTCTCATTCTTAACTGACTTTCCATTCTTCATTCCAAAGTAGTGATGGCTTAAAACGTAAAAGCAATATTCATTGCTTCCAAAATTGCACTTTAATCAAGACACTTAAACCATTATCTTTATGAATGTCCCTTGTATCGTTAGACCATGTTAGTGAACACATTATGAAAGTCTAGTGTAGACAATGCACTGTATAACACATAGTAAGCTGGTAAAGCCTAGGAGGAACTTGGACTTTATAATGTTAGTTAGCATATGTTCGCTAACGTGATCTAACACCGCATCTTTAAATCCTAATCTAGACAAAGCCTTAATTTTCAGAATGGCTTTTGGTTTTCCTTGTCACTTCCTTCATTCTTGGAATTTTTTCCTTTCTATTTCACAGTCTCCATTTGGCTATAGTTAATATAACATGGCACTTCAGCACCAGCCCAAAGATGGTATACAAATTTCTAGGTTTGTAGGTTATGTCTGCACAGCCGGTGGGAGTGAGCCTCGGTTGGCTAGAACTTAAAAAATAGCTGTATATTCAGTGCTTTGAATGTGTGGTTTGCACTGATGCTCTGGCTCTGAAGCCCACCCCCTCCTTAAGCTCAAGAGCTTGAGATGCAACTTCCAAGTGCTGTCTATACAGCTATTTTTACAGTGCTAGCATGAGCCGTGCTAGCTCAAGTCTGTCGACCTAGGCTTGGAGGCTCACTCCCCCGGGCTGTGTAGATATACTTTTTAAAAATTCAGCCTCTTTGGATATTTAAGCACCTAAAGATGCAGAAACACGTCTAGTGGAGTTTTCGAAAGGACCAACGGACTTAACTCCCAAAGTATAATGTGGGAATTCTGACTCTAAGCAATCATTGTCAGACCTGTAAAAGTCTGTATGTTACACAAAGATTGCACTTGCAAGGCATAAGCCCTGTTCTTCCACAGCACCCTGGGCCATATTTTTAAAGTTATTTAGGCCCTCCGTGTCAGTATTGAGTTATATACGTTTGGGTTTGCTCATGTAGAATTTTTTATGAATCCATAGCTCTGTAGTGTTTCTGGTTCATGCTTTTTTGCAAGTACACCTGCAAAATAATTTACCTCATAAGATTTTATGTCTCCAAAGAGCTGTAAAAGCATTAATCAATAGAGTTTAGAAACTGATGTCCAGCATGACTTTCTACCTACACTACTAATCTCTAAACTCATTTAGACCTTGTCCCCAATGACAATTACAAGTCAACCTATACACTAGCCTGAACCATCTTAAAGCTAGTTGATCAAAACAATTCATGGCATGTTGCAAATGGGATTGTGGTGTTTTTAATGCTTTTTAACACCCATTAATTAGTAATGGTTTTGTCATACAAAGATGAGCAAGTGCTGTAGAGAAGTCTAGTGTTTAGAATGCAATGACAAACAATATTTATATTAAGCTCAACATACCAAAATAACTTTTTCATTTGATACAGATCGAGTTTTGGTTCGAATAAATGACTTGACAGTAGAGAAAACTGATGAAGTGGTTTGGGTTCGTGGCAGGATTCATACAAGCAGAGCTAAAGGTGAGATGCATCCAAGTTTTTTCTTGTTTTGTTATTACAATAAACTGAGTATTTTGTATTTTCCTTACAATGTTTCCTTCACCAGAGAGAAGCAACATTATAAAATTTCTACTACTTATGTGTGTCTCACAAGAAAATACCAGTTTACTTCCAGAGTTTCACTATCCTTTTTCAAAACAATTATTGGCACTTATTTCACATTAAATTTTAGTTATCGTAAAAACAATACAAATTAGAGTATGGCAGCTGCCATCTTGCTGCCCCGAGTGATAATTTGAGACAGTGGCAGTCTCTCTCTCTCTCTCTCTCTCTCTCTCTCTCTCTCTCACCCCCCTCCCCCCCGTCAATTCTGTGGGAGAAAAGAGACTCTGAGGTTGTTCTTTGTTAAACTGGAATCTGTACTGAAATAACACATTTTGCTGTATGTAGCATTGGTTTTACTAAATTTACTTCATAGGCAAACGGTATCCAAGAGTTTTAAAAAAGACAATCTTAGTCATTCTATTTTAGTTGAACTTTAGAGATTTGTTTTAAAACATGCTTTCACAGCTACATAAACATTCAGATTTCTAAATAAAACTGAATCGCATTCCGAATCGCATTCCAAATCGCTGCACAGACCAAAATCACTCAGCAAGCCGAATAATTAACTTATGGCTTAGTTTTTGTTGCCATCTTGTCCTCTAAATAAAACAAAACCATTTTAGTTTCGAATTACCAAAAAACTTCAAATTAAAACAAAAAAAATCACCTTTCTCAACTGAGAGAAAGGGAAAGTCCTCTGTAGGTCCTGAGTACTATGGGCTGTCACACAAGGCTGACAGCCATTTTTCTTCACTGGAACCAGAAGTTCTCCCTTGAGAACCGTTTGCAATGTGCAAACTGAAATAGGCTTTGGCCTTTCAGGTTACATCAGACACTGACAACTGTTGGGTTGATTTCAGCTGTTTTTGTCTATTCTGTTGAGAATTGATAGTCCTCCCCAGATTTGGTGAGTAAAGAACATAAAGAAAACGGTCCTCAGAAATTACACATGATAGTAATCTGAGAACAGGAAAAAATGCAGAAGGCATAGAGGGGAGAAGAGTTCAGTCCAAGAAATTCCCTGAGAAACCAGTTTAGTTAATCTTTCTGTGGAGATAATAAAAAAAAAGAGAGAGAGAGAATTTGTTCTGGTTTCTCTTGCTTTGTCAGAGTCCTACCCTCAGATCAAAAAATAACCTTACGACAATTAGACTCCCTTTATATCATTTAAAAAAGTTAAATTTAGGGAGATCTGTCTTGAGTTCTATAATTGTACTCCTGAGTGCGTTCTTCGACAAAAAAATTGAAATTTCTGCGCACAAAATTTTAAAATGCTGCAAAATTCTGAAAGTTTTATTTGTCAATAAATAAACGCAGAGGCTCCAGCATGGCAGTGAGGAGGGGCTGCACAAAGGTGGGAGGTCACCTTGCAGCCTCCCCACCCCCAGGACACTGACTCAGCAGTGAGGCTGCACCCAATGCTGATACAGCACAAGGCCTGAGCCTGCCTCAGAAACACCCACGGCTCTGTGCCAGGTGCATCAGGTGTGGAGCAGGCAGGCTCAACCAGGGGGGATCCAGGTGTGGGGTGAGAGGATTCTGTGCGGGACAATCTGGGTGCAGACAGCACCATGATAGCATTGCCAACCTAATCCCCAGTGTAGGTGCAGTATGTCAACATAGCTAACTTCGCTTAGGGATGTAGCGTTCCTACACTAACAGAAAAACCCATTCCATTGGTGTTGGCTGCATCTACGTTATGGGGTTATGCCAACTTAGCTACGCCGACATAACTATGCCCTAAGTCCTGGGTCCTTAAAGTTGAAGAACACAAGTGAAGAGAAGAATTTATTATTTGTCTTTCTATATCCACAAACGAATACAATGTTACATTTAGAGTTGGTCACATTTATTAATCAAAAAGCTTGTCTAAAAAGAAAAATGGCTTTTTGAACAATGTGGAAAATGTCTGAAATTTTTTCATCAAAACAAAATTAAAAATGGTCAGTTGTCAATTCTTCTGGTTCTGATTTCCCCCTTCCTTTTCTTATTTTTCCCCCCCAATGGAGAATGGGTAGAGGGGGCATTTAACAAACATTCAATTTTTTTAATAGAAAATATTTAATTTTTTTTCACAGCTCTTGTTCTATTTTGAGAGATGCAGTAATTATATAGAGGCTTATAAGAAAATATGACACCTTACGAGATTGAAACCAGATTTTTTGGCACAGCTTATTGCAAGATTTTTTTTTTTTTTTTTTCTTCACGCTACACTGATGGAGGCCTGAACATCTTATAGGGGAAGCATCTTAGATATTAAGGCCTTATTTTCATTAGTAAAAAAGATGTGCTTTAAAATCCTAGTTTAGACAGGGCAGGTAATATGTTTGAGCTAGCTGAGGTAAATCCTAGGCTCTCCCCTACTGCAACCAACTAACAACTCCAACCAACTAACAAATGTTTCCTTGTGTAGGATCTCTTGCATTGGGCTGCCCTGTATTATTTTTTACCCATATCTTTTGGTGAGACTTTGTCTTGGCTATAACAGTATCTGATTTGAACACTGACGTTCTTATTCTGGGACAAACCTTATTTCCACATGTGAAAGTGATTGAATGTAGGCTGTTAAAGCTCTTCATGAACTTTAAGTTTTAAGGAACATCAAAAGATTTTGATACATGAAAAGAACTATAAACCTAAATATTTTTCTTGCATCCTGATGCTTTCCTTTTCCCTTTGTCTCATCTCAAAAGGCATCTAATCTTGAACTAGATATGATCACGACTCCTCTTTGATATTTTGTTTCACATGGTTTAGTCCTTTGGAAGAAGTTCAGATTTTTCCTATTTTCTTTTAACTGTGCTGTTTTAATCATCCCCAGCAAGGAAATTTGTTTGATCACTTATCATTTGTGTGATTAGAAATAGTTGATATGAGAAAAGAGAACATTTTGTGGAGTATAAGAACAAGCCAAACCAACATTACTCGTGACAAAAATATTGGAATCATTTTGTAATGCAGCCTCCCATCAGTCTGTAGCAAACAACTTGTCACTTTTGGTTTTAGTAAAACTGCTAGATTTTTGTTTCTAACTTGTGCAAATCAATGTCCTCCTATTTAGTTTACCGTCCTCTCCTCAAATATTTACTAGTATGGTTACTATGTATCTGTTCTGAACTGTGTGTTTTTTCTTAAACCCTAAAGCAACATTTCTCAATATCTATTTTATCTGATCACCTTTCTTTGTTTGCAACTCCATAGTGGTGTGTTCTTTTTTTAGTAAAAATTAACACTTACAAAACATTGGTATTTGATGGATGTAGAATAGGAATAATTTATCTGTGGAAGATTATCTTTGATAGATATAGATATATCACTGAAAAGAAGTAGATTTGTCTTTGTACTGTTAGTTTGTGAAGGCATATTTTATAAACAAAACCACAGTACATTTACCTCTGCAGTGCTCTGTTTAACTGTAAAGCTGTGAAGACTTTAATTTACAGCAGTCTCTTAATGTTGTTTGTGTTACACACAAGTAAGCTTATCCCTACATACCTACTTGTCTCCTTTGTTTTCGCCTTCCATCCCTGAGGTATGGAATTTTTTTGTGATCTGTTTTCTGAAAATCTCAAGTACATTGAGTAGAACTTCTGCGGTCAACATAATAGGGTAAAAAGTCTTTAGTGTTCACATCATTGCGATGTTAACTTTTTAAGTACTATTTGGTGCTTGTTTCACTTTCATATTTGCATTGACTGTTTTGTTTCTTTCAAACAAAATGTGTATCAGATGCTCTCCATTTATCTATTGAGACTTGTTTAAATTGTCTGTAGCTGCATGTTAGAGCTACGTTATTGCAAATTAAATCTGCAGTTATAATTCTGAAGTCCTTTAATGCATAATTTGAACTGAGAATATTTGTGTATGCAGTGCAATTCAGAATATTAAAATTATGACATTATTCTTGTAATTAGCCATTAGATTTGACCAAAATGCCATCTCATACAAAAATGTCAGTAAAGCTACTGGTTGCTAATGAAAGTAAGCACTTGAACACTGTCCCTTGGGGAACTGTGTTAAGTCAGGGGTATTTGGCTGCAACCGTGGCCCATACTGTCTCCAGCAGGAAGATCATACTCATATTTGACCAAGAGATGTTGAACTTTGGGAATTCCCTGATTCTGCCAATGTGAAAGAGAGATTGAAATGGAAACTAGCGCAGAGAGCCCAAGTGTTCTCCACTTGTGAGTGGGACGTGGGTTGTGCTAAGGGAGTTGAGCATCGCTTTTGTTTGAATGATGATAGGGCTTTCTCTGAAAGATCAAGGAAGCTAGTATCTGCTGATGTAGAAAATGTTCAGAAATGTATCTAGGAGTTGGAAGTCCACAGGAACCATCAGGAATTCCAGAAGTCCTTATCCGTTCCCATTTGTTGTGGCTAGAAAAAAAGAATGGGGATATATGCACATGCATAGCTTAACATGCTTTGAATAGATGTACAATCCCTGGCTAGTATGCTACTCCAAGAGTGATGATGCCTTACACTGCCTAATAGGAAGCTGTTGCTTTTCTGTTTTGGATCTGAGAAGCGGATACTATCAAGATACCCATGGAACCGCTCAGTATAGAAAACCAGCCTTCGTTTGTCCACTCGGATTCTACGAATTTCTGAGAATGCCCCAGGGAATATCAGGGGCCCTAGACACGTTCCAGAGGCTAATGGAGTGAATGGTTAGTGACGTGAACTTTCTGGAAGTCCTGGTGCATCTGGATGACTTGGTAATGTTCATGCACACTTTGGAAGAGCATGAGGAACCCTTGTGGAAAGTGTTGGACTGCCTGCAGGAATAAATGTTGAAACTCTCTCTAAACAAATGCCAGTTCTGTCAAGAAAAAGTAAAGTATATAGGGCACATTGTCTCTCAAAATGGAGTTTCTGCAGATCCAGATAAGCTGAAAGCCATGATGACATGGCCAAGACCAAAATCTTGAATGAATCTTGAGGTTCTAAAGTTATTATAGGCTATCTGTAGAAGGATTTTCTGCCTTTTGTCGACCCTTAAATGAAATCTTAAAGGAAAAGGTCGGGCTCTGCATGTAGGTGCCAACTACTACAGAGTCAACCCTTTGGAGACTGGGAGACTCCTGATTGTAAGAACACTTTTTGGATGTTATAGATGACTGACACATGCTTCTGTGATACTAAAAAAAATAGGTATCTGCTACATGTGGCTGTTAGTATGGAAGGACTGGGAGGATTCTCTACCAAGAATATCCAGATGTATGGAGACCAGTTGCCTATGCTAGTAGGAGTCTAGCATTGTCAGAGAAGAACTGTCCAGTTCACAAACTAGAGTTCTTGGCATCAAAGTGGGTGACTGAGAGACACTGACTGCGAGATTCCACAATTATCTCTCTGGAGTGAAATTCACAGTCCATACATATAACAATCCTTTAACTTTATATCCTGAAGTCCCGTTTGGATGCCATGGAGCTTAGGTGGTTAACAGCATTGGCCACCTGTGATTTCCAGAACATGTGAACTTGGATGTTGATGCATTATCCTGAAGGGCACCTGAGGGGAGGTTGCCAGACCATGAATTGACATCCCAGATGCTGGAGTGAGAGCTTTGTGTAAAATGGCTGAGACTTGGCCTATTGATGCAGTCGTGAACCAGATTAGGGCTATCAACATGCTTAGAGCCCCTCCTGGTGCTATATCTGAGGTGTATACAAATACCACCCACCTGGATCTTACCTCATTACACAGATTGCACCAGGAAGATACCACCGGTGCCCAGCTTTAGAGATCCTAGGCTGAAAGTGATCCTGATTGCCAAAAGGCTAGGTAGACCTGTGAATATCATACAGAATGCACATCCAGATATCAAACTGATCTTGAGAGAGACTGGTAAACATTGAAAGGAGGCCTATTATGTCAAGAGACTAGGGACTTGCTTCACCATTATCGTCAGCTAGTGTTGCCAGGAGACTTCAGGGACCTGGTTCTGAAGTCCTTGCATGATGAAGGAGGGCATTCTGGGATAGACCAGACACTTGCGATGGTAAGAAGAAGGTTCTGTTGGCCCACATTAGCAAGGAATGTAGAGGAATATTTTAAGGATTGTGCCAAATGTTTAGCTCAGAAGACTTTACCCATCTGCCCACTTAACATCCAAAACAAGGGACCCATATATCTTTTGTGTGTATTAACTTTCAGTCCTTAGACCTTAACAAAAAAGGGAACACTAACGTATTAGTGGTAACTGATCATTTCACTTGATATGCACAGGCATTCCCCACGAAAGATCAGTGTGTGCTATTGCTGTAGCCAAGATATTACGGACAAGTACTTTTATCAAAATATGTGGGTTCCTCCACATTAAGGAGCCAACTAGTGTGGAATAAACTGGACCTGTGACTCTAGGAAAGTCCACCCTATGGGGTAGTGTTACTTGTGAGTTATATGGTGTTACTGATGTACCCACTCCAAATCGATCTTCCCCTTCCCTTTATATGCTTCCTCTGTTTTCCCTTGTAAATAAAGTGTACCTTGATTGTGGATTCATCCATTACTGAGGTGTCAGAATAGTATTTTCACCAGGTATCAGACTAGTCATAGGGATAAGTACCAGGTTGGAGATAGTTGAAACCATACAGGAAAGTAAGGTAGGTTCCTGACTATCATAAACAGTTAGGTGAACACACCACCAGTTACCAGCTAAGAATCCAGGCAGTTGAAACCCACGGTGGCCAAAGCAGAGGGACACCAGTAAGGGTTCCTATTGTTGATTAGCTGCCCTTAGGGGTACAGCAAGCCATAAAACCCCATTACATATAGACAATGTGTTGATTTTAGTGTTCTGCAATGTCGGTAACCAACAAACTGACAATGATAATTTTTAGGGAAGCGTCTGGCTTTTAGCAGGTGCACTCTCAACAATTTTAATGGATCATTATGAGTCAGAGCTGAGTATTAAAAGGGTGTTGACGCATCTTGTCAAGGGATGTTAAAACAATGGAAGGTATGTTATTAACACTGTGTCTGAACAAAATGTAATTAAAATCATAAACTTTGCTGCAAATTAAATTCAGTAAATTTTCATTAGAAGTGTGAAAAGAAATGCCACGTTGTTGCAACTGTCAGTTAAATCGGTTTGAGTGGGTTTCACTTCACTGAGTGAGAGAGACGCATTTCAGAAATCAACAAACTGCATTGTTGTACTCTATGCAAACTACTACTGTTGTCTTGCTATCTATTCCCTAAATTCCAGATTTAATAAATTGATCTTCTAGGAATTTCCCTCAGGTTTTTAACTGTTTAGGTTCTTGTCCTCTTCCAGAATCAATATTCTTTCTGTGTGTGTGTGTGTGTGTGTGTGTGTATGCGCTGATGTTTAATCCCTATGATGTAAAATCAAGACTTTTTTGCTCTCAGTGATTGTCAGAGCAAGTCTGTAGTGACCTAGATGCCTTTCACTTCATTTATTCTTTAATTTTGGCAGTAACTGAATAAATTTAGGAAGGGGGGAGGGAGAGAGAGACTATTTGTTTGACTTATTTTAACGTGATATAGACTAGAGAAGACTCTTGATTTACCTGTGGTTCATGTAAAGTGAAACCTCGGGGAATAAAAGTGAGAGAAACTTTAGGAAAAGTAAAACTTATGAATAAACTTCTGGTATTTAAAAATAATTAAAATTTAGAAGCAGTGTCAAAAGGCAACTGCAACAGTAGGGCCGTTCTCACAAATAAATTGTTTGGAAAATGTCAGGAAAATTAAAAAGGGTAACTTTATCAAAGATCAGTGAATACTGATATGCTCTGTGGTTATTCATACAACCATTCTGACCTCTTGTGATTTGTAGTTTTCAGTCTAGCTTTCTATCTTGTATAAATATCAGTGATCTTACTCAAGTTGCTTTAAAAACAGATTTTGTTATTTATAGAAAAAGGTTTTTTTCCATACATTAGAGATAAGATCATTCTGGCTTATCTGCAATTTCGGATGCTCGTGCATACGTACCTTGTTTTGTTTGTGTTAAAACTCAGGCTTAATTTTAAAGTAGTAAAACATTTCTCATTCACAAAGATCCTGAGTAAGTTGGCCTTAATACACCTGCATTTTTTTCTCCTTTTATTCAGGAAAGCAGTGTTTTTTAGTCCTACGTCAGCAGCAGTTTAATGTCCAGGCTCTTGTGGCTGTGGGAGACCATGCAAGCAAGCAGATGGTAAAGTTTGCTGCCAAGTAAGTAAGCAATTATATCCTGTTGTCAAAGTAAACAATGGTGGGAACCATGACTCCAAGGGGTTGGGACCATTTTCACACATTAACATCAATGCTTCGTTTGTTTTAAAATGTAGTTATTTAAATTGTCAGTTCACTATTGCGTTGAATACATTACACTTACAAAAGATAAAATAGAACAGAGGCTTGAAATTCATTCTGAACTGCTGAAGCAGCATTCTTTCTCCACAGACAACCTAAGTTTACTTCCAAGCCAGCTAACAAAAACCCTGGCAGGCTTAGCATAGTGGGTCACTTTTTAAATTTTGTGTTGGGGGGAGGGGCGGGGGTGTGTGCACATGCTCAGTCTTTATCTTCCTTAAGTAGCAGATCTGCAGCCTAGTAGAATGTTTTTTAACTAGAATAAATATAAGCTCTGAACTACATTTTATTTGAAATAGATTCCATGTTGCAAATTGATTACTGAGCGGGAGAAAGTTGAGAGTTGTTTTTATGAACCTAATTGGTCTAATTTACTCTTTATTGTTGTCCCTTTCAAGCTGTGCTCTTTTGTTTTTTTTTTATTATTTTTTGGCAATGATTAGACTTGTTTCCAATTAACAAGTGTGTTACAGCTGTTTACATTTAGTTATTTGGCTTGTATTATTCTTAAGGCTAAAATGATGAATGTGAGCTAAAGGGGTCTCTTCTCCTTGCCCTCCTTTCTTAAGCTTGCCTGGACTTTCAAGTTTTGGGTCATCTGCTACTTTATATGTCTGTGTGGAAAAGGTGATTTTATAGTAGAACTTTTTGAACTTACAAGTATTTTAGCTGAATGTCCACAAGTTAAGATATAGAACCAGTCAATAATATGTTTAACATGTGGCACTTAAGGTGCTGCTGTTCAGTCCTTGGCACTACCCATGTGACTGGGAATGTAGCCCCCAGTAATTAGCTGTAAGAGTGTGAAAGCCTTTGATGTGTTAGGGGAAGGAGGGGGATTCATTATACCATACACTCCCAGAAGCAGAGTTAGAAGGTTAGAACAGTGCTTCTGGTGATTAGATGCAAGGCAACGGGAAAACAGAGCCAGCAGTGTTTGTTGTTTGGCGGCACTTAGTGTTGGCACTACCAGCAGGATACATGATGTTTACAGGTGTTGAGCCAAAGTGAAGTGTTCTGTGTCTCCATATGACAGTCTGTGTTTAGTTTCTTCCCAGCACTTAATGGATACTTTGAAAGAAAAAGGGCTTTCTCTCCTGCTATGCTGTCTATATGATCATCTCCATTCTAGTGGCTTCCTTTATGCCAATGAATCCTGCATAAACCCTTCTAGCCCTGGCATCCAGCCTTGTCCAGTTTTGCATCTTCAGCTCTGTCTCAGGCATCTCCTGTTGAATGTCTTGCTGTTATCTTTATAAAACTGAATTTCTTATTTTCCTCCCAATTTGTCTCTTCCTCTTCTTTCTAATCACCATTGATACAGCTCCACTATTCTTCCCATTGCCCAGGCTCAGAATGCCGTATCGTTTTTGATTTTTCCTTCTACTCTTTCCCCCATGTACATTCTCATGCTAAATCCTGACACATCTTCCTCTTTGCACTGTCTGTGTTTTCCTTACTATCCCTACGTTCAAAACCATTTTACCTACGCTCTGGAAGTCAGTTGTTTGATTGGTGTAACTTTCTTACTGCTCTCCTCTCATCCCTCACAGCCTTCCTGTTTTTTTACCACACGAAATTCAAGCACCTTGTCCTCACCTTCAAGGTCATACATAATCTTACCCCATTCACTTTATTTATTTCTTCCTAACTCATTCCAGGACTTCTTCATACCTTGCTCTCCTCCCAGTTATCCCTTTTTATCTTACCTTACTTCAACTGTTGTCTTCATTGTCTTGTGCCAGCTAAGATTGTTTTGGGCCAGTGACCATTACCTTTTGCAAATGTAATGCTATACATAAGTGATTAATAATAACCATGTTGCTTCCCTGCCTTTCTTGATGTCTTTTTCCTTCCCTTCAACTTGTCTCTTCCTACCCAAATATGAATTGATGAAATATCCTTTATCTCATAAAATATTTAAGATTTAAGTTGACCTTTTCCCCTGTGGCAGCATGTAGACCTCAGCATTCATGTAGTACTTTCACATATATGAAAGAATACCCATAACTCTTGACTCTGAGTTGCCTTGCTTCCCCTGTCTGCAAGCTTGCATATGTCCAAGAACTGTTTTAAACATCTGGTGACACATCTGTGGTTTACAAAAAGAACCTATGATAATCTAATACCAGATAAACGAGATTCTTGTAAAAATTCCCACAGGCAGTAAACAAACTAGTTCCTCTTTTTTGGTATTGACATATGAAAAATGAGAACTTTCATAATCTGCTGTGGTCTAACAGTATTAAGATACTGCTAATATATTGTATTCTAAATGTTCCAGCTTTCATGCAGTATTTGTCTTTCTCTAAACAAAGGGAATATCTATCTAATCTCCGCTTTTAAAAAGAGATTGAACAACTGTAAATTGATCTGATACACTTCTGCTTTTAATTTTTGTAAAAAAATAAATGAATTACTGAAAACAATGTAGTGCCCGTAAAAGATGCTGGATTAACAGCCCTGGAATTGAAGTCCAGAGAACACACAGTGCCATGGGCAATATCAGTTCAAGCTTCCCCTAACTTTCCCACCAAAAAGTCTCAGTCCATTCCTGGAGTGGACCCTCTGTAGGAGTAAGGAGGGTATTTGTCTCCTTGCCATTTCCATTAGAAGTCTCTGCTGAGACTGCCAACAAGGGTGTTAACCAGTGCAATTAGTAATTTGTTAAAATTTATAGTCAAAATATTTTGCGAGTTATTTTTCCCAGAAGGTATAGGATGTAGGTGGTGGTGCTGATTTTGTTTGTTTGTTTTAATTCTTTGCTGGGCTTTCCCCTACTTTTCAGTTTGTACCACAGGAGGCCATGTGGTCTAGCAGTGGAAAAAAAACCAACAAGACTCTAGGTTCTAATTTTAAAATGAGCTACTGACTTGGTGTAACCTTGGTCAAGTAACTTGGCCCCCCTCTGTTTCAGTCAACCAGCCAGAAAAATGGGTTTAAAAAAAATCTTGCTGGGAATTAAATGATGCAGCTGAGCTGAGTTTAGCTGAGTAAATAAATCACATGCCTTCAAAATGGAATTAGAATCATTTTACATCATTCATTATCATCTATTCTTAGACCACTACAGGGAAAAGGTCTCTTCTTCAGCACTGCTCCTATGTCCATCATTAAGGCCCTACCAAGTTCATGGCCATGAAAACCACGTCATGGACCGTGAAATCTGGTCTCCACCCGTGAAATCTGGTCTTTTGTGTGCTTTTACCCTATACTATACAGATTTCACGGAGAGACCAGCGTTTCTCAAATTGGGGATCCTGACCCAAAAGGGAGTTCCGGGGGGGTCACAAGGTTATTTTAAGGGGATCACAGTATTGCCAACCTTACTTCTGCGCTGCCTTCAGAGCTGGGCGGCTGGAGAGCGGTGGCTGTTGGCTGGGCGCCCACCCAGCAGCAGTGCAGAAGTAAGGCTGGCAATACCATACCATGCCACCCTTACTTCTGCGCTGCTGCCTTCAGAGCTGGGCCCTTGGTCAGCAGTCACCCCTCTCTGGCTGCCCAGCTCTGAAGGTGGCAATGCAGAAGTAAGGGTGGGAATACCGTTGTGATGGGTTCCCCCTGGGGTGCCACTTGGAACTGGTGTACCACTGAGCCCTCCTGACCCACCAGCCTGGGCTCCCTTTACACTGCACTGATGTGACAGGCCCTCAAGCTTCCTCCAGCACACATACAGGTAGGGACACACCCAGCTGCAGCTGTATACAGATGCTGAGATCAGCTCTGCATGGGAAGGCTTCAGCTACTTCTGTAAGGAACTGCCCAGCTACTCAAGTGCACACCCTGGTCTGGAGGGTAAACCCAAAATTATACAGTCTTGCGCTGCACAGTGATCTGTACAGCGTAAGCTCATGAAATTTGTCCCCTCCCTCAATGTGGAGAGGGAATATACAATAGCTTTTTGCCCCAAGTTATAACTCTCCCAGACTGGTTTGTGATAAAGCAAAAACAAATTTATTAACTACAAAAGGTAGATTTTAAGTGATTATGAGGGATAGCAAACAAATCAAAGCAGATTACCTAGCAAATAAACAAAAATGCAATCTAAGCTTAATATACTAAAGAGATTGGATATGAGTAGAAACTTCTCACCCTAAATGATGATTTAAGCCAGTTGCAGAGATTCTTAAGGGGCCAGCTTCCCATGCTTACAGCTTAAAAACCCCAGGTATTCCTTTCACAGTCTAGAAACCCCTCTAGCCTGGGTCCAGCACTTCCCCCCGTTCAGTCCTTGTTCCTCAGGTCTTTCCCAGAGTCTCTTTGGGCAGGAAGTCAGTGAAGAACCACAATGAGGTCACTCCCCTGCCTTAAATAGCTTATGCATATGGCTGGAAAGCTTTGTCTCCAAGTTTGGTTCCCACGCCTGGTCAGTGGAAAAACCCTGGTATTCCAAGATGGAGTCCAGTACCAGGTGACTTGGTCACATATCTCTGTAAGATCACAGCAGCCATGACTCAAAGGCTGTTTGTAGCATCCTCAGGAAGGCTCCCCGGTGGGAGATTAGCTTCTTCTAAGACCTATTGTTCTCTCTAATGGCCCTTCCCAGCCAACTTTCTACACTGATTGCATTCTGCCTAGTGGGCGTTCCCCAGGTGTAAACACATTTGTAATAGATGCATAGACAATATTCCTAATTTCAGATACCAAAATGATACATGCATACAAATAGGATAACCATATTCAGTAAATCATAAGCTTTTCAATATCTCACATGACCTATCTTGCATAAAATACATCATAGTTATGTCATAATCATATCATATAATAATATCTCTATGAAGAATATGGGGCGTAGTGTCACAACCATACCATGCCATCCCTACTTCTGCGCTGCTGCTCGTGGCGGCACTGCCTTCAGA